GTGTTAATACCAGATTAAATCCTTTCACAGGAGCCGGCCTGCTGGAAAGCTCCCCAGCCAACCCTTTGTCAAGCTAATGTAGCCTGCATTGTACCTTGGCTTCAAGAGGAACCTTAAAATGTAGCCAGTGTCTGTATTCTTACATGGAAACCTAACATTCTTGGAAGAAATACTTGGAACCTGGAATGAAATAACATGGCAGCTGATACGAAGAACTCAACCCTGTCACTGGCAGTCAACAAGCAGCAACGCAGTCTCTCAAAATAATAATATAAAATAAATAAATACACCTAGGGAGGTGGTGGAATCTCCTTCCTTAGAAGTTTTTAAGGTCAGGCTTGACAAAGCCCTGGCTGGGATGATTTAATTGGGGACTGGTCCTGCTTTGAGCAGGGGGTTGGACTAGATGGCCTCCTGAGGTCCCTTCCCACCCTGATAGTCTCTGATTCTATGACATTGCCACCCCCTCAATGTTATTTGGACAGGTCTTGTCCTGATCAGCAGATCGTCTCCAGATTTCCCAAAAGAATGCTTTGCTGCATACAGGGTTTATCCTGATCTCAGAAATTCCTCTGCTATTATACTAAATCATCACAGCTAGTCAAACTGTCAGAGTCTCACCTGAAGACTGGTCAAAGAGAAGCGGGGATTACAATGGTAGGGGAGGCCAAGCAAAGCTCCTTCCCAACACGCTGTTAGACTGATCGCATTATTGTTTTGGCTCTCCCAGAGGTTTTGTCCCGGAAGATTTGCCAGTTCAGGATGGAGCCCTAACTGGCACGTACTTTCCCATTAGCAGCGTCAGCAGATCAGGAGGATGTTGCTGTCTTCTAATATGAACTATAGCTTCTTTCGGTCCGGGGGTGGGTTTTAATTTTTTGGTTAAGACTGAACCACCTCGAGGTTTGGGCCATAAAATAAACCTGCCGTGGAGACACTGCCACGGCTAACCCTGCGGTAGCCTGGCAAAGCCTGCATCTACCGTGGGAGGCCGCAGGGAGAGAGACGCTTGGCAAAAGGTGGGAAGGACTGATGTCTGACGGCGACAGCCACAGACTTGCTGCTGCTGTGCGATCTGCCTGAGCAGCTCTGAAGTCAGACAGGTCCTTTCCGAGACAAGGAGCTAGCCCCTTTCTTCCCAGGCACGCTGATGCAGATTTTGCTTTGAAAGCAGTGCCGGAGGAATGCACTGCACAGAATGCTAGTTCACCCCGTCCCCATAGGAACTCCCTCTCCTTCCCCCTACCCATTCTTCAGCTCCTCCACACAGAAACCTGTGTTTCCACAAGAGCCCTGCTGGCTGGAAGAGCTCTATGCCCATAAGCGTCATTCAGCTGGAAAGCAGGAACAAAGGCAACAGGAGTCCTGACTCCATGGGAACAAAGGAACACTTGGGGTGGGGAGAGGAGAGGAGGAGGACGACTGTTAGTCCATGGCCTCAGTTAATGAATGCAAATGCCTACTTTTCCCCTGGAAACAACAGAGGATGGCATTGAATGTACAGCAAAGAGAGAAAACTCTTTCCATTGTCAAGGTAGAGCAGCCAGCACATGAGACAGTTGCAAAGTGGAGCATCTGACGTAACAGATGGCCCCCTTGGGACACGACTGTAGATTCTGGGAGAAGGGAACATGTGCAAACTTAACAGCATTGCCGGAACTCCCATTTAACATGTCACCCTGTAGCTGGTCCCTGATACACGCCCTAGGGACATCACGGTCGCTGCAGCAGCCCCCACTGCCAGTTTGGATATTGAAAACCGTGCTCTGTTTGGACATAAATCCAATTCAAAGGCACTCATCTTTTGCCCTAACTTGATACACAGATTGTCCCAGCAGACAGCTTCTGTGAGGACTTTCCAGCATCCACAGCACATGATAACATGGCCCAGCTGCCAGGAGTTGGCTTTTAACAGCAAGCGCCAAATTGTTAAAACAACAGGATCTCCAATATGTCTCTCCAATATGTCTCCAGGTCTACCCCCTTAGCATACAGGTTTACCAAACTGGCCTTTATGGGAATCAAGGCTGCAGAGATCTCTCTTAGTGCCTGATTCAAAGCCCCCTGAAGTAAAAGAAAATCTTGGTACCCCGCTTTACATCTGACATATGTAATGTTTTTGCATGTGTGATGCCAGAGGATCTCAAGTCAAATGACCACAGAGCTGTGAGTAATATATATATATAAACTGTGCTTTAGACACTGCATCCGATACGGTCTTCTTTTTTATATATTTAAAAAGGTGGGGCAGGTCAAAATGATCAGTGTCAAACTTCAGAAACAATCTCTTCATATTGAAGTACAATTTCAATTCCTCATTCATTCCTCCCTCTCTTTGTGAGGTTAGCTAACAGAGAATAATAATAATAAAAATACGTAGCAACCAAGCTAGATTCATGCGTAGGGCAGGATATTCCAGTGGTAAACATCATTCGATATCATACTGCTGTGGGCAGTACTCTAGCAAGCTCTGCCTTTGAATTATAGCCCTCTCTGGTTTTGCCGAAGTTTAATCTGGCCCCTGTTTTGTATAGCAGTGCTAAATTGGAGCATCCCACTCAGCTTCACAATTTGGCTCTGTGTCTTTCTCTGCCTGGAAAAGCCTTTTTAGCTACAATTTGCAGAGGAGGGAGAAATCAATTCAAACGGAACACCTCTGTTGACACAGTGCTGTATTTACTGCAGAGAGTTGCTGGGGGGGATAGGATTTGTCAAAGGTTAGTGGTGCTTTCTATTGCCATTGTTTCATGCTTCCTCATTTTCAAATATTTGGTCGAAATGCCTCACAGACCCTTAATTTGCTGCATAGAGTAAGAAGATTTATTTGACATCTACAGTGTCCACTTCAAACAGGGGGATTTTCCTGACAACCCCCTGCAGAACTGCCTTCGCCTCATTGCTGATTACTGGGAATAAACAAAAGCAGTCTTTATACTCAGACTTGTGCTTAATTCCACCAGTGATGCAAAACCAAGGAGACTGATCCGCCACATATGCACAACTGGCCATGGGAGCTGCACACACATTGGAGGGGAGAAGTCAAAAAGAGACCCATTTTAGATCATCTAGTGGATGTTCCCCTGCTTAACGGAGGATTGTTTTCCCCCAATAATTTGTCCCCTATGAGGGGGCTGTCATCCATCACATCTATACACCCTGCGTCTGTGGGGATCCCACAATTCACTGCCACGAAGCAGTCTGAATGTCACAGGCACTGGACTGCAGCATCACTACATGAATCCTAATGGGTCAGAGATGCTCTGATTCAAGGAGAGTGAATTTCTAGTTACACACAACGCACTTTGCAGCTGGCTTTCAATCCAAGATCAGCTGCAAACAAGTACATCTCAGAGGTTTAAATGCAGCCATAATAAATATTAAGCCATATTAAGTGTAGCAGCTCTCTCTCACAATGTTTAACTCATAAGAGCTCCATGTGGCACATACGGTAGCGGGGGGGGAAATCAGGTTGACTAGTCTACAGAACATGGGACGCTTTCTTTGGACGCAGTGCGCGCACCCATCTGCCATTTACATGAAATATTCAGTTCAGCTTTAGCACTTGGGTAGAGGTGAGAGTTAATACACAATGATTGTGCAGGAGCACTTTGCATTCACACATGCTTTCCGGGTGGCTCTTGTCCGAGCTCAGGTGCTCAGAAGCAGTCACCAGTAATGCCTGGATTGTGATTCCATCACAACACCTGGCTTTACAGCAAATAATAATGATCATGAAGTTCCTGGTATAGGATTTTGTTTAAACCACCCTTGTGAAATAATGTTTTGCTGAAAGGTTCCCCTGGCTCCCTCCTAGCCGCAAGGGTGAGGCAGCATCTCGACAAGACAGTCACTGAATTTCCTAAAGCTGGAGGGTACGATCCAATTCTAGGATCTATCACTGAATCCTGACCTAAGTCCTAACTTTGCTAACACCAACCTGGAACGAATCCAGCCACGTGGCTTTTTTCGTTCTTTGAGATGTGCTTTCTTTTACAGAGCCAAAGCTAGCATCTTGCACAATAAACTTTTATTTCTGCAAGAGAAAAATTTCGCTCTCTCTTAGAGGGTAACATGTTAAGTTGCCACAGAAGTGCCAGCACAGTGATCTAGCAGGGACAGTTCCCAGCCTGCCACGAAAGAGCTTTCGGTTCATAGCTTTACCGCTGAAACAGAGCAAGTCCCTGGGATGATCATAGCACAGGAAGCATGGCTGCAAAAACCAGCATGTATTTTGATAGAACATTTCAACTGTTTGGATCTGACGTGTAGTAGGACCCACTGAGAAGCATGACCAGTCTCTACAGAGATACAGCCTACTCGGGGATTTTCCTAGTCGGAATACATATTTTCAGGATTATTATTTGGTGGCTGGAGTTTATTTACATATTTTAATCCCAAACCAGAACAGTCTCTCCTTGCAGAGCCGGAGAGTCCAATGTCAATCTTAGTCATACCTTGCTTTCAAAATTCCGTGCTAATATTAATGGACCAATATATCGGTGGGGCGCAGAAACTGGAAACAAGTGATCGATTTCAGCTTCCAGACCTAAAACTTGCAGGGGGTGGGGGAAGGAATCCAGCTTCCTTTGCAGCTTCTGAGGGGAGAGGCAGCAAAGGAGCTCGGTTGGCAAGCTGCACCATGATCCCCAACCTCCAACAGCCATGGTGAGCCCTTGGGGAGGGGGGGGGACACAAAGAAACGCTGCTCCTCCGGCCCCAAGCTAACCAGGGTCCCTCCCCAGCACCAGGCTCCTTCCTCCCGGGAAACAGAGGCGAGTCTACGCTCCACGGTACAATGGGTGCTCCAAGAAACAAGCAGCCTATTCCCCAAGAGGCTTTTTAACCCCGCACTGGACCACCCCAGCCCCCCGGCAAGACAATCCCTCCTCTTCCCCCTTCCAGCCTTTGAGAAGGAGCCGGGCTTTGGGAGAGGAGGGAGGGATGCCCACGCTGCGCGACGGGGGCAACGGGAAGGGGGACCCCGTGTGGACGCCACTTACAACGCCCAGGTTCAGGTCATCGGCCGTCGGGGTGGGCGCCGCGGAGGCTTCCTGCCAAGCCAGCCAGACGGCGATGGTCAGGAGCATTTCCCGGGGAGCCGCGCTCTGCCTGGCGGCCGCGGGCCACAGCCGCATCCCTCCTGGTCCCGCGCCGCCCGCCGCTCCCCGGGCAGGAGGCGACGCCGGGCTCCGGCGATCGGCGGGGGCACCGAGGCGGCGGGCGGCATCCGAGCGCGCAGCAGCCGCCGCCGCCGCCTCCTCCTCCCCGGGCTCCAACTTTCCGGGCTCCCGCCGCCCTCCAGCCCGGGCGGGCGCTTCCCCCGCGCTGCAGCCGGACCCGCGGTTCAACGCCGGCTCGGCTCCGCGCCTCCCTCCCCGGGGCAGCGCCGCGGCCACACGCCCGCCGCCGCCGCCGCTCCGCTCCGCTCCGCAGCCCGGCCGCCTCTGGCCGCGGCCCCAGCCCGCCAGCCTCGCAGGGAGCGGGGGGGCGGAGCCGCTCCCGGGAAGGGGCGGGGCTCCGGGGCATTGGGGGCGGGGCGGGGGACTCCGCCCGCGGGGAGGCGCGGGACAGGCCCGCAGCGGCACGCGAGGGCCCCCCGGGCCGGGCCGGGCCGGGCCGGGGTGAGGACACAAACCGCGGAGGGCAACCCCGGCCCGGGGAGCAAAGTCTGACGGGGACCCACTCTGCTACCCTTGGAAGTAGCCCCTTGGCGGGGTCACGTCTGTCCTCCGTACCCCCAAGTCTCGCCTCGCTTTACACCGACTGGCACACGCTGCGCCCACCAGATAAATGCAGCGCGCCTGAGCAAGGAGGCGGCGGATTCTGCCGGCGACCAAGGCAACCCGCCTCCCTCCGAAGGTGCTACCCGCGGACCGCGTGGCAGCAAGCTCTGAGGAGTCCCCAAAAGGCTCCATTGGCAGCTACAAGCCGCTGCCGGTGGCTAAATTGGACGGACGCCCTTTCTGGCGCTGCACCTGCTCCTCCACGCACCCTCCCCCGCCGCTCTCAACCGGCACTGCCCGAGGGCAGCTCCCCGGCCGGCACCTGAGCCGTCAGCCGGGGGTGGGATCAAGCTGCACTTGGCTGGGGGTTAAGGGCTGAGGAGAGCCGAGCTCAGGTCCTGGTGCCCACCCGCTTCCTGCGTGACCTTGGGCCAGTCGTGGGATCCAGGGCCCGCTGCAGTGGTCTTGCCCTTGGCTTCAGGGGACTGGGCCCCGGGGTTTTCATCTCTGCATGCCTCCATGCACCCTTTGTGGACCTAGACTAACACCCCTTCCTTGGCCTGTCTTGTCTCTACAGACGGAGAGATCTTTGGGGCTGGAGCTGAGCCTTCCTGGGGGTTTGGGCAGCACCTAGCGCAAGTGGGGCCCCAAGATGTTCTGTTGTAGTGTAATCCTTCTGCCCCTCAGAGGTGGCGGCAACAAGGGCCAGGTTCAGTATCTAGGGCTTCCATTTCAATAACACAATGCAAAACCGGCTCAAGCCCCCACCCAGTGACAATTACATACCACCCCCCCCCCCCGGGCGCCTCTAGGAGGCAATACTTCCCCTCTCGCAAGCACAGAGTCTGAGAGTAGCAAAAGCCTTTTAATAAAGGAGGGAAACAATGCAGCATTATGCTGGGGAAACACCACAAACAGGATTCATAACACCAACCATGAGCAAAAGACCCACCCCCCAAGTAAGTTTGGCAGTGTCCTTTTCCCCTTTTTCCCCTTTTCGGCGTCTTAAGTTCAGCAACCCAATAGTCACCCTCCCCCTCTGTCCTTGGTCAGTGCAGCCGCCCAGAGTTCAGAAGTTCATCTGCAGAGTTTACCTCCCAGCCTGGGTGGAAGTGGAGGGAGGTGGCGGGGGGGGGGCGGGCATCTTACATGCTCCGCTGCTCGGGTTGACGGCTGAGTGCGACAGCTCTCAATGGGCTTCTGCTGCAGTCTTCCCCACCCGCTGCGCCTCTCCACCAGCTGCCCTGCTATCCGCTCTGCGCCTCTCTGCTAGCTGTCCCCTCCACCAGCCACCTGCCTATCCACTCTGAGTCACTCTCTGTGCTAGCCATCCTGCTGTCTACTCACCAACTTGTCTTCAGCCCCCCCCAACTTAACACAGCTCTCAGTGATCTCAGCTCTTCAGTGATTTCAAGCTGGTAGTAGGGGAGCCTCTGTGCTGGTGCACCATTAGCCCAAAGCAGACCTACTGCTTAAACCCAGGTATTCGTGATTTCAGCTCTGCAGCATGCAACAAGACTCCTAATAGAACCAAAATTAGCTCTGTTATTACAGAGTGAAGAGATCAAGGTAACATTTCAGGCCTTCAGAAGGGACCAACACTGCAAGGTACACATACCCATTGCTAACCTCTCTCAATTTACTGGGTTTTGGAACCCATGTCCCTTGCCTAGCAAAGGCTACTTAGTTGAGGGCGAGTCCCTCCATCATAAAATGCCAAGTACAGTTCTACTGTCCTTGATTCACATAACAAGGATAACAAGCCTTTATTACTCTTGCCCCAATAACAAAGAGACTGGAGATCCCACAGCAGCCAAAGTGACCATCTGGGTAAGCAGTCCATCATGCTAGGCAGGGTGGGTGTGCCCATGTAAACGAGATCAGCCCCTGAAGTCCTTTCCCACAGCTGACCACTAGATGTCAGGGTAGAGCTCATTCTGACTCTGCTTACAGTAGTAATAATGATAAGCCTGGGGAAGCGCATTGGCTGCTGCTGGGAGCGGAGCGAGGAGTGCCAGGAGCTGGGAGTCCTAGTGCCGCAGATCAGGACCAACGACAACACCATCGTCACCCCGAGTGCCAGGGGCCTGCTGGAGAGGACCCTGAAGGCAGCCATCCACTCACTGTACATGGAAACCCTGAAGCGTAAACCGGACCAGGGTAAAGCCTTCGAACTGACCAGCAAGTGGGACGCCAGCAACCACTTCCTCGCCGGGGGCGGCTTCACCCGTTTCGCCAACTGGCGGTTCACCACCGCGCCCAGCTCAACTGCGTGCCGCTCAACGGAGCCGTCCGCCGCGGGAACCGAGACAAGCGGGAAGTGCAGCTACTCCAACGAGACCCTGTCCCACGTCCTGTGCAGCTGCCAGCCCCACTCCAGAGCCTGGCAGCTGCGCCACAACGCCGTCCAGAACCGCCTGGTGAAAGCCATCGCACCGCGCCTGGGGGAGGTCACTGTGAACTGCGCCATTCCTGGTACTGACAGCCAGTTGCAACCTGACGTGGTAGTCACCGACGAGGCCCAGAAAAAGATCATCCTTGTCGACATCACGGTCTCCTTTGAGAACAGGACCCCGGCCTTCCGCGAAGCCTGAGCTCGTATGCTGGGAAAATACGCCCCTCTGACCGACATCCTGAGAGCGAAGGGCTACGAGGTGCAGATGGCTGCCCTGATCGTCGGAGCCCTGGGCGCTTGGGACCCCTGCAACGAGCATGTGCTGCGGACCTGTGGGATTGGTCGACGCTACGCACGGCTCATGCGGCGCCTCATGGTCTCGGACGTCATCCGATGGTCCAGGGACATCTACATCGAACACATCACCGGCCACTGACAGTACCAGGAGGTGTGAGCCGGTACGACCTCCTGCATCCACTATGGGAAAGGGACTGAGAGACTTTTTCCATTGGACCATATGAACTGGAACCATAAACTCACCGAACATTAAATCCCACGAAATGAGGGTAAATCCATCCTCATCATCGTACCCACTCATTATAGTCCACACCTGAACATAGCCATTATATGGACAACATATCCCCATATCTCAATGTCTGTACTTTGACCCGTTAAACTTTTACCCCCAAACGGGGAGATTGCAGATGATGTATTCCTTGCGCCACCCGTTCCTAAACCGAAGTTCGCACCCCTTGATAATCTGTACCCTATTCCCTGATAACCAGAAACTTCTATGCTTAAACTCTGTACCATTTTCTTTTTACTTCAACATCATCTTAATAAAATTATTAAATCTGTTTGGGGCATTTGTCCCACTGGGTATTGTGCAGAGCAAAGATTCCATGGAGGAAAGGGGGTGGATTAGAGAAGCACCATATAAAACCTGTATTTATCCCTGTATCTGCCGAGAGAGAGACAGTGAGAGACCAAGATAGAAAAATGTTCAATGCTGGATATGCAAGGTCTCATTTTTATGTCATCTACAGCCCTGATCATGGAGTTTGTACTTATTAGTAAATAATGAGTTGCCTTGTTACCTATCAGATAAAAGCGATCATATAATTTCTTGGGAGATGGCATAGTCCAGCAGTGAGGGTATCGTGCTGACAGTCAGGCCACCCACATTCCAGCCCTGGCTCTGCTACTGGCCTGGTGGGTTACCTTGGGCAAGTCACTTTCCTGCTGTGCCTCAGTTTCCCATCTGTAAAAAGGAGGAGAATGGTACTGACCTTCCTTTGGGATCTACAGCTGAAAAGATTAATATATAAAGGAAAGAGCCTGCTAGAAAAGGAAGATCCGTTCAGTACCTTTCAAACATCCCAGTGGTTCATTTCCAAAGCCAGCTGTTTACAGCGGGTATGCCTGTCTGGGGTGCAGAGGTGAGGAAAGAAGAACAGGATTTGACTCTCCCAGAGGGAGAGTAACTTAAATCAGAACATGGGATGGCCTCTCACTTAGATTTAACAGCTTCTGTTTTCTCTCTCTAGACAAAATGAACCATCCATGTTTCTGATGCACATGTACAAATTAATTTTAATAATTTAAATTCTTGCAGGGCAGGAGATACTTGCTCCAGGCTAAACTCTTAAAGAGTCTTTTCAGCATCACTCTCTGCCTCGGATCTGCTTTCTTTTCCACTCTTCAGTATCAGGGCCCTGAGCGCTGACAACCCACAGACAATGCTCTGAACTGCTGCAGTGCTGCGAACGGCTGCACACATCCCTCCCTGTTCAGGACTTCCCTTCTTTAGCGAGAGGAACAGTTACAAAACCATCAGGCATCCAAAATATACAGCCTGAGCCAAAGCCCGCCGATGTAAATGGAAAGTTTCCTGCTCGCTGGAGCGGCCTCCCTGTACTTTTCCATCCATTTTCATTTCTCATCCAAGGACATAGACCATGGAGGCAGCACCAGGGTCATGGCCCAAGCACTGTTAAGTAGGTAGCATCTCCTTACGCTTTGGTTCCTCTCCCTGTTAAATAGCTCAGCATTTCTACAGGGCTGCAGGGCCCATTTCTGGCTGAAGGGGACACTGGGTGAGATTTCAGTTCTTGGTTAGTGGATGAGCTTGCGGGTGTCACAGCCCCCATATTCTCTACCTTCTAGGCCCATGTGGTTCTCTCTACTGCAGTTTGTTCAACCCAACTGTGGGCCAAGGTCTATACCCCTGCTCTCCTACTTAAAGTCTGCATAAGCGTTCGGCAGACTGTCTGCCCAGGGGGGTGAAA